ATTGCTTGTTGCTTCTAAAATATACTTCTCCCAAATAAAATACTTGTTCAGTTAGTGACCCTATTCAAGTTTATAATGATGGTGGTGATAGTGACCTACCTATTTGGGACCACTATGGATTACTGGTATTTGGTCATAAGAGTCTTCCCTGAAGGGTGACATAAAAGCCATGTCTGGCCACTCCATCAGGGAAATGGGATAAGTTTAGCAGTATCTGATCATGACATCATTTTACTTTTGTATCTCCGTTTGCATTCAAATTAATAAACTCCAACTCATGAAGAACAGGACCTGCAACCTGTCTTTCTTGGTTGTTTAGGCAAAGAAGAATCTGGCTTTATTCATTGGAATTTAGCAACAATAAACAGGAGTGGCTCAAGATGAGGCATGGGCCCTTCCTGTAATTCTTCTTAAGTTGGTGGGGAGTGGAGAGTAAAGGACACATGTCTTGTTCAAACAGGTAAACGAATACAATGCTTTTCCTGACCACAGAACCCACTTGATCTTCTTTTTCCTGGTGGTTCTTCTGTTTATTGTCCTCAACATGCAATTTAATTCTTAACTGTATGATGTCATACTGTTCAGTTTCATGTGTGCATTTCTCATCTCTTCAATGAAAATGAAAGCAGTTTATGGAGAAAGATCATGTTTCTTTTCCACATGTCTCAGGTGCCAAGAAATTTTTAAAAAACTGAATAATCTTACCATATATTGGGAAGACAGATTGTTTAGTTATATAGAAAAAAACTGGTTTATTCTATGGAAAATAGTCTAAGTCCCTACTTAATATTATATACAAAGGTGAGGTGTATATTCATTATAGACCACTGTAAAAGGTAAAATGATACAGTTAATAGAAAAAAATACAGGAATTTCATTAAAGCACCATCATAAGATAAAAGTGACTGCTGTAAAATTATGAATTCTTTTTATGAAGTCAGTGTGATCCAGATTAATAAAAGACACAGTAAATACATTGTCTACAGCCAACAAACTTCATAACTAGAAAACAAAGAACTGCAAAGCAATCTAATAAATCAATTCTAATAGTAAATGGACAATGGATATATACATACAATTTGCAGAATGAATGCCTCCCAAACTAACGAGTATATGTAATGATGCACAAACTCATTAATAAACATAAAAATGCAAATTAAGTCATGATTAAGATACAACTTGATGCCTTTTCAACTAGCAGATATTAGAAAGTCAAATAAGACCAAGTGTTGGCAAAGATATGGGGACATAAGAATTCACATGTGCTTCATATGGGAGTGTACACTGATTCAGCCTTTCTGAAGAGTAAGCCAGCACCAATTAGTTAAATCAAGTGTATGCACACCCAGTAATCCAGCCAGTCTGCTTCCACAAGAACTATATGGCTCTATAGGGATAAGTAGGAGGCTAGTTAGTGTAGCATTTCTTTAGATAATGAGCAGGAATTAAAGTGTGATAGATAGCAATGAGTCATCAGATAGCAGTTAATACCAATGAAATGATGCATGCAGATGTATATATATATGAACATGAATAAATCTTAGGCTAAGTACAAGAGAATGAATCAAAAATGCTGAGTATTTGTTTCCCCTCAAACGTTGAAATCCTAACCTCCAATGCTAATGTATTCAGAGGTGCAGCTTTGAAAAGTGTTCAGGGTTATTATGGGATCAGTGACCTATAAGAGGCTCCAGAGAATTTTTAGCTCTCTGTTCTCCACCAGGTGAGGAATCACTGAGAAGTCTGCAGTTTGCAGTCCAGTGGAGGTCATCAACAGACCTCACTAAGTAAGGCACCCTGATTAGACTTACAGCTTCCAGAACTGATAATAAGTGGCTCTTTTTTCTTTTTAACATGTCACTGAGTCTAGGGTCCTGTGTGATGGCAGCCTGAACTAGGTAAGTGAATTACAGCCCAAAAAATAAATTAGATATATGTACACACAAAACAACAAAATGGGTTGTTTCAAGAAAGAATATAAAGAAAAGAATATACATGAAATACAAAAAGGTCGCCCTCAGAAGGCAGCTAATGGGAGTGTGTTATGAAATAAAGATAAATATTAAATAATGACAACTAGAGAAAGACCTTGCATGGAATCAGAATAATATTGTATCATTACCTAACTCAGTATGCACCTAAGGTTCCTGCATTCCTAGAAAGAAAAAATCCACTTCCAAAAACATTTGCTGTTGAAGTGTACCTCTGCATTTCTTTCAATTCCATTTAAAAGATATACCACATTCCTGTCCATTTATTTCAGGAAAGACAGTTTCTTAGACTGAAACAACAATGATGTTGATTATAATTAGCGAAAACAAATTTCAAACTTGTAAATTATATTTTCACTTCTTAAAGAACATATTTATTTTCTTAACTAAGGCAAATTTTCTTTTTCCAATGAAGAGATTATGTAGAAATTACTGAGAAGTAGAGGAATAAAGGTGGTATTGGCAAAATTCTGGATTTTTCTGAAATTCAAGAAATGACGGTGGGTGCTATTTTCTAAGGTTCTCTTAGTATAAAAGAGTAGACTTCCATAAATAAATGTTAATTATGATTTCAGAGAAGGAAGAGACTTCAAGAAAGAAAAAAATGTGCGTAATTTAGTGATAATTAAAAATATAGATTATTAGTCCTTCCCAAATTTATTACTGTAAATAAGTTCATATGAATAAAGATCAGATAGTGATGTGGAAAATAAAATGTTTATTTTGAGGAAAAAAATGTTTTGCAGCAAAATAATTTTTGGCTAAAACAAATACACCTGTCATTTCCACTTTTTTTAAAGAGATCTTTGATTCCATTTCAGGGAAGTTAAGTTGAGCTTTTTGAGTGGGGTTTACAGGCATCCTAAACAGAACTATTATACAACTGAATTCACTTTTTTTCCTTTGGGGACAGTCTTCAATTTTAGTTTTAACAGAATTATTAATGTATCATTTGAATATTACATTACAGGTCAGGGCATTTTGTCTTGAAAATGATGTTTGTGAGATAAAGTAAACATTTATGATTCTTTCCTTTCCCCAAATATTAAAAAAAATCTTAAAGTGTGGTCTTGTAGACCTAGACATAAGAACAGAAACAATAAAATACCTGGAAGCAAAGATGGGTGAAACACTGCATGACATACACCTCAGTAACATCTGATCACCCAGTGCAACAATAGTGAAGGAAAGGGTAAACAGATGGGACTACATCAAGTTAAAGAACTTCTATATAGCAAAAGAGACATTACAGAAAAACAGACATCCCACTGATTGGGAAACAATGTTCTTATACAAAACTAGTGATAAAGGATTGATCACAAAGATATACAAAGAACTGATGAAACTCAACAAAAATAAACAACCCCATCAAAAAACTCACGGCAGAGCTAAAAAGACACTTTTCCAAAGTAGAAATGCAGATGGGCAACAAGCATATGAAAAAATGTTCAACATCACTCATAATAAGGGAGATGCAAATTAAAACCACAATGAGATATCATCTCATACTGATAAGAATAGCACATCTTGGCCCTCCCTGGTGGCGCAGCGGGTTAAAGCACAGCACTATAAAGTTAAAGCCACTTCTGCATGAGTTCAATTCCCGCCTGCCCCGGAGGTGACCACATGGCGTGGCAGACCTCTCCTGACCCGCCCGCTGCTCCCCTCAGCAGTGTACTTCATCGATCTGCCTGTTCTGCTCCCCACTCTGTCTCTGGTGAAGTCTTTCGCCACCCCTGAGTCTCTGGCCTGTACCCCAGTTCTGTATACACAAATAAATAAATCTTAAAAAAAAAAAAAAGAATAGCACATCTTAAAACAACTAGCAAAAATAAATGTTGACAAGGATGTGGAGAAAAGGGAACTCTCCTGCACTGCTGGTGGGAATGCAAACTAATACAACCACTATGGAAAACTGTTTGAAGGTTTCTCAAACTGCTAAACATGGAGCTTTCATATGAGCCAGTAATTTCACTCCTAGGTATCTACCCAAAAGACACAAAAATACTGAGTCAAAAAGACACCTGCACCCCCATGTTTATTGCTGCTTTATTTTCAATAGGAAAGACATGGAATCAGCCCAAATGCCTAAAAGTAGATGACTGGATTAAAAAGATGTGGTATATATACACAATAGAATATTACTCAGCAACCAAAAAAGATAAACACATGCCTTTTGCAGCAACATGGATGGAGCTGGAAGGGACCATGCTTAGTGAAATAAGCTAGAAAGAAAAGGAAAAATACCGGATGGTTTCAGTTACAGCAGTAGTATGAAGGACCAGGGGAGAAAATAATAATAATAGTAATAATAATGAACAACTATATACCAGAGACATTTTAAAGGGGTGGAGTGGGGAATGGGATCAAAAATGGATGGGGAGAAGTACACTGGATTATGGTGATGGCAAACGGATGATTTGGCAATGGGAAGCCCACGGGGATTACACTGAGATGGAAAAAGGGCACAAAATGATGTAAAAATGACTATTATTTAAATTTAAAAAATGTGGTCTTACAATAAAAGTATGTGTTTTTACAAATAACCACTTCTATTATAGTTAAGCATTTCCATTTGGTTAATACTGTTGTGGAAATGGGGATGCAATAGGTGGATAACTGGATCTCATTTATTCTCTCACTTTGAAATGAGTGGTTGAACTATCTGCCTATTGTTTCGTCATTTCCACCACAGTATTAAACAAATGGAATTGCTTAACTACAATAGAAATGAAGTGGTTGAATTAGAGTAGCTTATCATAATTACTCATTTTTAGATGTGCTGATTCCTTTTCTCCTTGATTCCCACCTACCTATATCCTTGGATACTGATGGGGTGGGGAACTGAAGTGGGTCTCAGAAAAATGCAAAAAAAAAAGTGATACTGTGGTAGGTGGCCTGAAAATTTTGTTTTTAGAAGCATTGAGAGGAATAAAAAAAACAATTCCTTCCTATGATAGAAAGAACTTAATCTATTATCCTCTGATTGAAATAATTTATCTGACTTACCAAATTTTCACTTCTCTCTCGAAATTCCATAAGTCGGTACGTGCTGTTTTGTCTAGAATTCCTATTCCTTTGCACACTTGAAATTTTAAAGGTGCCATGATAATACTCCATTTTTTGGCCTGGGATGAAAAGGAAAAGTAGGAAATTAAGTCACTTGGGGCTATAGTTCAGGATCTAAGGCCTAAATATAACAGGACTACTATGAAGTTTTGAATGCATCAGTATCTAATTTAGTTTCATAATAAAGTAATACAAATAATGATTGTTTTATGTTATTTATAGTAGCTGATATTTGAATGCCCAGTGTGTGTCAGTTACTGTTGTGGACATTGCACATGTATTAGCTGAATCTCCTCTCTAAGAGGCATTATTTCCATTTCACAGGTGAAAGTGAGGCATAGCGGTATTAACTTGCTTTGATCTGCACAACTAGTAAACAACTAACTCCAATTCCAGAACATTGTATTACTATAATGCCCTTGCTAAGGTGAAATGTATCACCCCACTCAACTGAAAGTATAGATAAATGAATGTCCTTATAATTAAAAACAAAATGCTTTTTATATATCGTATTATTGGAGTAACACTGGTTCATAATACTGTATACAATTTAGGGCAGTAAGTTTACACTTTTGATGTCTGTCACCACAGCACAACTACTATCAAAGTGCCCACAGTCCCTCACCACAGCTCAGTGGTACCTCCCTACTTGGTCTCCATCCTTGTCACTCCTCTTCCACCTCTAATAGCCTCAACTTTCACTCATATTTCTAAAGTTTGTTTTGGTGACACTAAGAAACATGTGAAAAGAAAGAAGAGGGGAAACCACTCGGGGTTGGAGGTGAGACTGATGTGTTAAGGGGGATGGATCAGTCCTCTAGGCTTGGCTACCAGCAATGGCAAGAAAAGAGCAGTGGGGATTTGCAGTTTGATGAGTCAAATCCTGGTGATAAAGAAGGGAGTTGTGAGGGGAGAAACTAGAAAACTATTACGTGGGCACAGTGTGTAAACAATTCTACCTCTGGGTAGCCAGACTCAGGACTCATGTGTTAATGGGTTTCCTGGCTATAGAAGTAGGAAAGAAAGTTACATTTGGGATAGTTCTGGACACCAATGCTTTTTTGGTTTCCCTTACTATATGACTCAGATACTGTTAGCAGATTTTATACATCTTTAAAGGGGTTTCTGTGCAACTAGCTTAACTCACGTCAGAATCTTTCACCATTGGCATAAACTGCAGATGGGTTTGTTTTATGGGGCCCACCTGCACTAAAGCTCTTTAATGGTCCCCAGCCATTAAAGGTCTCCAAGCCTGAGGAAGATGACACAGAAACACTGTTCTGGTGAGCAGCCTGAGCAACCCTGTCAAAGTGATATGAGGATTTATCAAAAATGTAAGCGATTTGGTTTCTATGCTTCGAGGGAAGTTTAAGGGAAAGGATTCTAAAATTCACTGTTTGTGTGATTTTAAGTACATTAGTCAATATAAAAATGAACCTGCTGCATCGTTTAAGAGTAGATGTTTTTCTCTACAAGTAGTAATATTGTGTCTTACTTATAATTTAACAATTATGTCAACATTCATTACTTTATTAGACATGATTTTCTTTTATTAAACAGAAAATGATAACCATGAGTGTAAGTGTCCATTTTAATAGCTAAGATATTTTCACTTAAATTTGTAATTATTTGAATGTTTTTGATGATTACTAGAAAATGACTTTTTCATCTTTTGTGTAAATTCTTAGAAGAATACTAGATTGTGAGTTCTTAATAGCTGGGAAAATTTCTTTGCTTAATGTTTCTTTGCTTAATTATACTGATGATGCTTACATGTAACAGGCATTCAGTAATTAAGATAATGAAAAATTTTTTTAAAAACATTCTGAATGTGGCTATTACAGGTAAAAGTTGGGGTGAAAGTAAACCTACCTATTTACAAATGAAGCTTTACAGGAAAAAATGAAATTAACCTGAGTTCCATAATTTTACCTACCAGACACTAAAAAATGAGCCAGAACACCGATGCCCACTGCTACCACTGCCAGTATTAACACAATGAGAAGAACAGTCATCCATGGTTTCCAATTTCTGCTTCGGGTGCCAGACCCTACTGTTCTACAAAAAGGAAAATTCACTAGTTACTTTCACATTGTAATCCATAGTTTTCCTTGGATAGGTGCAAACTGATTTAGTTTACAATATTCTGAGCAAGAAGAGATCTTTCCACAATTTTGGTGAAGTTCATCTTGGTGTTAAGGAGATTTATTAAAAAGCTCAGGATCTGGGAATCCCTGATGTTGCTACAGTTTTCTATTTCTAGAGAATTTTGAGCCCCTCTGTGGTGATCAGTTCTGACATGTCTTAGCAATATAGCTGAAAGTAGCACAGGTACTTGATAAAGATTATTTAATCTTTTCCAACACTTATTTATTTATGTGTTTATTTTACATCATTCTTCATTTTGTACATTTTCCCATCTCATTTGTAGTCCCCATGGGCTTCCCACCACCAGTCCACTCGTGTGCCATCACCATAGTCCCATGCCCTCTTCCCACCCCAGTTTTTATCCCATTCCACCTCCACCCCCTACAGTGACTCTGTTTTAAAGTTTGTTGTTCTCGTTTTTATTTTATTACATTTGCTTCTCTCTCTCTTTTTTCCCCCCTGAGCCCTATGCTCCTGCTATGAGTGAAACCATCCAGTATTTTTCTTTTTTTTCTGGCTTATTTCACTAAGCATGATCACTTCCACCTCCACCCATGTTGCTTCAAGTGGCATGAGTTTATCTTTTGATTTTTGAGTGATATTCCATTATGTATATGTGCTACATCTTTTTAATCCAGTCATATATTTTTGGTCATTAGGGTTGATTCCATGTTTTCCCTATTGTAAATAGTGGAGCAATAAACATGGGGGTGAGGTGTCCTTTTGAATCCATTCCAACACTTTTTGCATTTATAGTGATTAAATATATATTCTTCCATTTACATTATAATTTTTAATTGTAAAAATTTTCATATACATGGATACTCATATAATAGTATATAGGGTGGTATAGTAGAAAAAAATAGTAAAATCATAGAACAGGATGGCACAATAGAACACTCCTATATATATATATATATACACACACACACACACACACACACATATATATAAAATATTCGATCATATATATATATACACACATATATATAAAATATTCGATCATTTGTGAAAGTTGCTTTCCTTCTTGCTTCAAATTTTGCTACTATGTTTTAATGTGAAACAAGATATTGATATCATGGCTTTTCACTAAATAGTATATTAAGCCATTAGGCTTTTTCCAACATAATTATAATGCTATAATGTTCTTAAATAATTAACAGTACTTAAGAGTAACTTTCAGGCACTCCCTGGTGGCACAATGGGTTAAAGCACAGCACTACAAAGCTACCTTTAGCTGCTTCAGCACGAGTTTGGTCCTGACCAGGGAGGTGACCCACATGGCATAGCAGACCTCACCTGTCTTGCACTTAATCAGTCTGCCTATTCTGTTCCCCACTCTGGTGAATCCCTCACTACCTTTGCACCTCTGGCCTATACCCCACTTCTGTATGCATAAGTCTTAAAAAAAAAAAAAACTTTTACTATCAACCCTTCTTCAAATTCCCTTCTTCAAGTTTCCTCTATTGTCCCATTATATATGCAAATAGTTTATATAAACTGCAGCACAAGCAAGGGCCATATGGTTGTATTTTAAGTTTCTTTAAATATCCCTGCTTCTGTTTTTTTTTTTTTAAGATTTATTTATTTTATGCATACAGAACTGGGGTACAGGCCAGAGGTGCAGGAGTGGGGAGAGGATTCACCAGAGACAGAGTTGGGAGCAGAACAGGCCAACTGAGGATGTACACTGCTGAGGGGAGCAGCCAGCAGGTCGGTAGAGGTCTGCCTTGCCTTGTGGGTCACCTCCAGGGCAAGGATTGAACTCATGCTGAAGTGGCTTTAGCTTCTTAGTGCTGTGCTTTAACCCACTGCGCCACCAGGGAGGGCCCTGCTTCTGTTTTAATGATATTAACTTGTTGAGGAGATTGAGCCAACTGTCCTTTAGAATTTTCATCTCTGTACTTACCTGAATGGTGTTTGATTTTTATGATATTTTCATTGAAGTAACATAGCATTATATGAGTTCAGGTGTGCATCATTATATTTCAACATCTGCACACATCAAGTTCATCACTTAAAGTCCTATTCTTTCACCATATAATTGACCCAATTTAAACACTCCCTTCCCTCTTTTCTTCTGGTAGCCTCTAATTTAGTTTTACAAATTAAAGCTTTTTTTTGTTCAACTTAGTGTTTTTTGGTTTTTCTATGTACAACATAGTGAAATAATATGATGCTTTTTTTTCTTAATCTGATTTATCTTACTAAACATATTGTCCTCTAGGTCCTTTCATGTTATTGCAAATGAAAATATCAAATCAGGAATAGAGAGAATTTATAAACCCTAGAAGAAAAACTTTTTTTTTCTGTAGTCTTATGATCAACAACAATACCCATCATACTGTATCAAGAATATTAGTCATCGGCTCTCCCTGGTGGTGCAGCGGGTTAAAGCACAGCACAAAGAAGCTTAAGCCACTTCCCCATGAGTTCTATGCCCGCCTGCCCCGGAGGTGACCACATGGCATGGTAGACCTCTCCTGACCTGCCCGCTGCTCCCCTCAGCAGTGTACTTCGTCGATCTGCCTGTTCTGCTCCTCACTCTGTCTCTGGTAAAACCTCTCATCCTCCGCATCTCTGGCCTATACCCCAGTTCTGTACGAATAAAAAAATAAATCTAAAAAAAAAAAGAATATTAATCTTCACTTAAGGATGAGCTCCTCAGTTGTATGAGGAGTCAATTTTCACCTTTTATCATTAAGACTCAGCAAGGGGCCTGGCATGGATTTCTTTTCTCAGAATCTCATAAGGTTGAATTCCAGGTGTCAGCTGAAACTGCTATCTCATCTAGCATCTGTAACCCTCTTTCAGGTTCATCTGGGTTTTTAGGCAGAAAGCAGTTTCTTGAAGCTGAACTGAGCTGTTCTCTTGCAGACTATCACAGGTCTCTTCCAGGATCTACATGCTGCCCACATTCTTGGTCATGCATTTTACTCCATCTTTAAATCCAGCAATGGAGAATCTACCCCCATCAAACCTCTCACCTTTTCAATCTCTCTCCAGCTGGGCTTAGTCCCTTTTAGGTGTCACAAAAATGTGAGTTTTTCTTTTTTGTGTTACCTTTTTTTACCTGTCAGCCTCTTAAATAGTGTTGAAGTAGACTTTCAATTAGGAAGCATTTAGGATTACAGCATGGTTACATGGCCTTTTAAATGTGTTCACCTCAAAGAAGCAACTGGTCATTTCACCAGGACAGTCTCTTTATTCAGAAACAACAAAAACAATTAGGAATATGTGGCCTCATGTTGACTCACAAGCACACTTCACCAGAACAAAAGAAAGAAATGTTCATATATAAAAGCCAGAGGGACTGTTACAAATGAAGAGTCCATCAGATGAAAATGGAACCCAGAGAATAGTGGTCTTTCATGTTGTTGACATTCTATTGTTGGTAGAGCTGTTTTGCAAGGAGGAGCCGCCTCCTTTCTCTGATGGGATGGCAAAGCAAAGTCACTTCTTGTCAGAGATGGCAGGGCTTGTCTCTTCAAGATGAGATTCTATTGGATTTTTAATTTTTTTCTTAGAGTTTTCTGGTGCACAGAGTGCATATGCAAGATAATTCTCTTCTAACCTTCCTCACTTAGGGAAGGTTTCTGTGCATTTTCTCAAACTATGGCAATATGATTTCTAATTGGAAGTGGTATAGCACTAAAGGTAAGAGCTCAGTTACTGGTGCGACATTACCAGAGTTCAAGTCCTTGTCCTGGTCCTTGGTAGCTCTGCTATGTGAGACACAGTATTTGATCTCTTGTGTTTAAGTTCCTCCATTTGTAAAATGGAAATGAAATTAATACCTGCCTCATAGGATTAATATGAAGATCAACAGGATTAATTTATAAAAAGTGGTGAGCCCATAGTAAATACTATATAAATGGGAGTTAATATGTTTTGTTATCATTATTACACATTGATAGACATCAGTCTTGCTGGTGATAAAATGATCACTTAGTATGAAGGTATTTATAGGTCAGTAATTTTGGTGCTGCTGGTGGTTTGAATTTTAGGCTCATAAAGTTGCCTCACAGAATGGAGCTTAGATAAATAAGGTATTAGGAAATGCTCAGAAAATTTTTATGTAATATTAATCAACAAACTGATGTGTTTCACTATGGCTCAGAATGACATAATAAAATGGAGATACTATTTCACAGGTATATTAATGAGGAAGGAAGGGATTACATAATAAAACAAGGACCTATTATCAAATGTCCTACTTTACTGGAAAAGATAGTACCAAATGTTATGTAATTGTGTATGCACATGCTTACCCATAGGATAGCTAATATTTTTTCACACTATACGGTCCCACCTATTAAAGATTGTAGATTATTTATCAGATGGGAGTTAAATGCCCAGACTGGGTGATATGTATGTATGTATACAAAAAGAATTGCTTGTTTTCAAATACCTAGCTCAGAGACTTGAATACCTCATATATGGCCTAATAATGTACTTCTAAGAATTGTCTGCTGTCCCAATATTTTTCCACTTTGTCTTCATTTGTGCATATTCTACCCATTCAACTGTTCATCCATCTATTTATTCACCTGCTTTTTCTTTTCCACAATGTTTTATTAAACTTCTGCTAGGTGTTAACACCATGCTGGGTCTAGGTGAGCAGTGATGAATAAGACATGATTTCTATCTTCTTGCAACTCATGACATAACTTACATTACTCTGTCTCAATATACACCATAGGATTGAAAATAATGAAGTATTGTAAACTTTTCTATAAATATTGTAAGTTGTTTACATGTCTAACTTTGGGGTGACAGTTTTACTCCTTCATATGTACACATGCTTCACTCTCTTCCTAACCTGTGCCCAGGCATACCCATTTCCTTCCCTTCAGCCCTACCCACTTCCCTCTGATGAACAATATATTTTTCCCAAAGTTGAATAATTATATTTGTTGTGATTTTCCAGTATATTTTCTATGATTATTAATATTCCACATATAAGTGAGACCTGTAAGTATTAAAGTAGCATAAATCACCAATTTCTACAAAAGCAACAAAAACAAGCATTAAAGATTGTGAAGTAGTCCAGGTCTGTGTCCCCTGTTCCTGGCACAGAATTCCAAAAACGCTTGTAATTTTCCAAGTGATAAGAACATTAGGAGCATATTTTGTTATAACTGACCTTTGACCCCAGTTCTGACACAGAACCCTTTTATAATCTTCTGGGTATAGGGGTATCATTTCTTCCAATGCGGCAATGCTTGTGTTGTTCTTGAATAAACTGAAGATGGTCTTCTCACCAGGAAGGCTACCCTACCCTGGGAAGCTTGATATCTTTCATTTTAATCCCCATTTTCTGGGAAGGGAAGAGAGGCTAAATACTGAATTAATGATCAATTATGCCTGTGTAATGGAGCCTCCATAAAAATTCCAGTAAGCTTTAGGGAGCTTCTGTTTTGGGGTACACATTACAGAGAGAGAGGGTGATATATCCCGTCTCATCCAGAAACTCGTATACCTGGGATACTTGTGGACCTTGTCATGTGTATCCTTTGTGATCCCTTGTAATTCGTTGCTAATCTTGGAGGCAGTGTTTCCTTGAGTGCTGTGAACTACTCTAGCCAAGTGACCAAACACTAGGAAGGAATTGTGGATACCTTTGATTTATAGCCAGTGGGTCAGAGGCACTGGTGACAACTTGGAACTGCATTTGGCATTTGAAATGTGGGCAGGGGCATTCTTATGGATGGAGTCCTTAACCTTTGAGGTCTATGCTAATCTGGCTAGTGTTAGACTTGAATTTAGTTGCAGGAAACCCAACTGGATTTAGAGAATTGTTTCTGGGGAAAACCTACACATTTGCTCTCAGAAGTATGAGAGTGGTAGCAATGTGAAGTAAAAAAAAAAAAAAAACAGCTTTCTATAATAAAGATTTAAAATTTTTTAAGTTTTCACTTGCTTGAACAAATCAACTGTAAGAAGCCTAGTATTACAGATATGAATCTACCTTTTAAGATCAGAGGACTGTGGATTCAGTCCTGTTTCATAATTCCTTAGCTTGTATCTCGAGACTCAGTTTATGAAATCCTGATGAATTTCATTTTCCCCACATTTAAATGGTGAAAATAAATAGTATTAAAAAAATGTGAGACAATGCAGTGAGTAAATCAAGATCTCCAGTAATTGTCAAGTTCACATGGATTATCTCTTATAATTGGTGCCACAGGTTGGTGGTGAGGTAAACCTTGTTACTACCATTTCACTAATGAGGAAACTAAGTACCAGAGAGGAAAAGCAACATTTGCTTGCAAAGTTAATTAAAGGGAGGCCTGACTTCAAAGTTATCTTTTCCCCTTTGTAAACAGACACTGAACTCACAATAAATGTGAAAGCCTTCAGTATATGATTCAAATGCACTTATACTTATCTGTCCCCAGTATGACTGACTAGTCATTAACTAAGATGTTTTGTAAGTGCAGCTATGAATATAGGGGAGCTAGGGTGATGTGTATAGTTTGAGCTTTTACTTCAATAGTTCTCAGTAAAATCAACTGTCTTCTATAAATTGGGGTAATAAAAACTTACACATTTACAAATTCTAAAAGATAAGTAATATATGTAAGGAAAAGATCCATTTAAGATAATTTATTATTCATGAATACATAATAAAGGTAGATCTTATCATAAAATCTATCAGTCACTGTGGATTTGTGTCCATACCTGATCATAAGTGAACACTTCGGTTTCCAAATAATTTATATATATATCTGCCAAACTCCTTTATCTATAAATGTATTATTCCCCTATATGTCCATTGGAAAAGTAGGAAAACAAAACAAAGATATTATCACCTAGCCTTTCACCCTCAATGAAATGAATATGTATTTTAATTCAATGAAATATAATAAAACCCTGCTTTATCATATATTTGTATATCATATTTATATAAAGCCCTAATGAGTGACTAGCACTATGAATGTTTTATACAATTTTAAATTAAAAAGTTATTTATCTCTTATAAATTACCAAAAAGAAGAAAAAGTAGAACATTTTAATAGTTATATGCTCTAAGTTCAGACTGCCTCAATCCTGGTTCTCATTAACCTATGGTGTAGGGCTAGTTACTTTTAATCTATAAAATGGAATAATAATGGGACCTAATTATAGTGCCATTGTATTAACTAAGCTAATTTAACATAATTTGTACAAAGAAAACTCTTGATTTTGCTGAAAACAGACCAAAAATAATAGTTCAAAACAAAGTTTGATAAACAATGACCAACTTGGAGTTTTACTTTGCTATTTTGGTTTTAACTTTGCAATACATTTTTTTTAAAGTGACATGTAATTATTAGCATAATATATATATATATATATATATATATATAGTGAAATGATCACCACAGTAAGTCTAGTTAACAAGACTCCCCATACATTAGTAAACATTTTTTTTTCTTGTAATGACAAGCTTCAAGATCTACTGTTGAAGAGTTTTTTAATATATTAGGGAATGATTGGAATATTAACAAATTGATTGAAACAAGTCTTCAAAGTGCAATTATGTAAAGTTGAATACTTGAACTTGTCCAGTGTCTTTCTCTCTACAGGATGCTAATGAAGAGGACTAATCTAATTTTTGCATTTATTAGGCATGTCAAAAATAATGAGCTACTAGAAGTGAGAGTTACCAGATTTTAGTCACAAGATTTCTTGGGACTAAATACCAAATGACGAAGGTATCAGGAAAATAATTGAGATTTTTAAGTAAGTGAATCTGCCTATTAATGAATAGATATGGCTATGACTAAAAGCCAAATATAAGTAGAGACTCACAGCAAAATCTGAAAAGTATGTCTAAATGTACAGAAGAGGGACACAAAACCCCAGAACAACAAAGAAACGAACCCAATATATTGTGACAGTTTCTACATGTGTTTCTTCATTGAGAAGAATGGTATGACTGTAGATTATATAGTAGAATTAGTATAGGTGAGACCTATAATATCACAGTAATTATTAAGCATTTGCTTTGCTTCAATCCTTAAAGCCTGCCTGTTAGTATGACCTTCCATCTCCTCCAAATCCTCAATTAATGTTCCATGAATTTAGTTCAAAGAAACCATAAGCATTCAGCATTTTCCACTGTCTCCTTTCTTAACCGTAACTGTCATATATGTTCTGAATATTACTTCTGTAATGTACTTCCCTCACACTAAACAGATTTCTATAAAACATTTATTAGAAAAATAAAAGACTTTTAATGTCTATAACCAAAAGATATTTTTAAAGGAGCAATTTTCAGAATATGAAACATAAAAGGTTGGATCTACTCCATCTACTCTACTTTCATAAACGATTACATCCGTTTTTCAGTTACATTTGTTTGCTAATTCATTTGCTCTATACATACTATGAGGTACCAATTATTTGTGAAGCATTATGGATCTTTTTGCAGGTTCTCAGCATTTTCAACAATCACTACGTGCTCACTAAAGGACCAACACAAATGTTCAATTTATTAGTGAAGAAAGACCAGTGAGGTCCACTGACTTGGTGGTGGGTCTACTGTCAAATTCTCATCTCTGAAATTATCGAGGTGGTATCCTTTGCCATCTGGAAAGGCTGTGGCAGCTAATAAGGAAGACCGGTCTTCCAGAATGGTGAACTGTTGCCCTAATATTGGCATCTGACAGCTCTGCAGACCCTGCGATGACCCTTAACTTCCTTTTTCTCAGATGTCTCACTTTAAAATTGAAGTTGTTAATTATGCGTTCTCTTGATCTCACCAGAGTGAACTACTAAATGAAATTACATATATGTAAACATTTTGTTTTCATGAATGTTTTAACTCTTAACTGTACATAAAGTTATACCAAAGAATCTTGTTTTCCCTCTTTGCAGTGTGGTGAAACTTATTTGGGGGGGAAAAAAAAGGCTTCTGAAATAATTCATAGTTTCCTTTTTCCTTTAACAGGACAAGTTTTAGAGGCTTTACATGTTCCCGTCAACCTGTATCTCCTGTTTTTCTCATTCTCCCCCTGGGATGTCTACAGTGATAGCAGGTGTCTCTGCAGCTGCTGACTTCCCAAGCTGCCTTAATTCCAAAGACTAGGACTATAATATACAAGAGAGAATAAAATTAAAGAGAAATGCTAAGCTAAACACAGATTGTTAAAAGGAGACATTTCTTCCAACAAACAACCTTGCCACACAACCTCTCTGTCCTATCAGAATCAATGAGGATACAAGAAAATACAGGTTTCCATTAACTTCTTCTAAAATCCCACTGTTGAAATTGCTAAGATGATTTTTAAATGTAAAAAATTGATTTCAAATACAGAGATTAAATAAACTAGCTACTGTAAGTACAGATTGATTCTATCAATGACCCACACAGCCAGATCTCTGACATGCCAGGCATCTAATCACTGACAATAGAGCAAAGAACCATTTACAAAATAAAACTGAACTTACCGATACATCATCTACCAGGGGAAGAATATGATCCTGTAGGGTTGCACCTACTGAACTTGACTTTCTAATCAACTATATGACATCTCTAGATATATTTGAGATCTACGGCTAGAAGAAATAAGGAAACAAATTACAAGTAGTTGAAATGAAACTAGTTCAACAAGTCTGAACAGAGAAGCCTGAACCCATTAGAATAGCTTGAAGAAAACAGTCAGAGACAGAATAGCCCTAACAAGAAAGTAGTATTTTTTTTTGTATTGACTAATTTTGTTAAAGGAGAAGAAACTGGTTGAAAGGTTATGAATGAGAAATTCCTTAGGTATGCAGTAGGATTAAGAGTTTAAAGAAGATTATTGGTAGATAGACAAATATCTTAAAGAAATCTTCATTTGAAAGCTCACAATAGAAACAATCAAATGTTCTTAAAGCTTACATACATAATATAACTGCAAAAATACTTCTTAAATCCTTGTTGAACATCAGGTATCTACATGTCTCACAGGAGTGTAGTGAACTTATTAATATGTAGCCATTTTTCTCTAAAAAGAAAACCCTACATTTGAGAGTACAAATAAATATAATCATATTGAATTAGATTTTCCTAAAAGGACATAATGCAATATATATCACAATCTTTATGTAACTATAAATACATATGTACACATAGATGTGTGCATAGATGAAGATTAGTCAGAATGGAGAAAACAAAAAGAAGAGGTAAGAAAACAGTACTTTCAAATTTTTCATTTATGTAATATACTCTTTATAAATCTTGAAGAATTATGAATGAGGCTAAATTTTTATGTGATTGATCATGGCCCCTAATCTTGGACCCTTTACTTCTCAAAAGTAGCTGATGTTCCTAGATTTCCTTCTTTTATAGAACGCACTATGCATTTGCTCCAACACAGAGATAGCTGTAGAATCACAATGAGTATTAATTAATTCAACAATATATCAGGCACATCCTTGTGGAACTTGAACTTTTTTTGGGGGGGTGGATTTTTTTTCTATAACTTTTTATTTTAGGTAACATGAGTTTGCAATACCACACATGATTTTCTTTATTTAGTATTTTGAAGAACTTTGTATTGAAAGATACAGACCTACATTATTTCTCAAACAACCACAGGAAATGAATAGTACTTAGTTTACCCTTGATTATCTTATAACCAAATGGTACTCATTTTTTTTTTAAGATTTATTTATTTATGCATACAGACCTGGGACACAGGCCAGAGGTGCAGCGGGGTGAGAGGTTTCACCAGAGACAGTGGGGAGCAGAACAGGCTGACTGACAAGGGGAACAGAGGGCGGGTCAAGAGAGATCTGCCTCGCCTTGTGGATCACCTCCAGGGCGGGGAGCGAACTCATGCTGAAGTGCCTTAGCTTCTCAGTGCTATGCTTTAACCTGTTGCACCACCAGGGAGGGCCCCAAATGGTATTCATTTTAAAGGAAACTTTTAAATAAAGATCTCCCATAGTTATTATCTCTAATAATTAGGAAAACCATATTTGAAATAATGTAGTTCTTTAAGTGCACAGCCTCTCAAAGGTCAAGATACTAGGGTTTAAATATTAGCAGTTTCTAAGTCTATACAAATAATATCAGCTGCTATTTTATTTTTTTGAAATGCAAATGATTAATACAGAAAAATGCTTGGAAAAGTCCTTTTGTAGTGTAAGAACTACAAAAATTTTAGCTACGGTTATTAGGATCTTAGGTTATTTGGATGTTTTCTTACCTACTATTAGAGAAAAACTGAAGCTCATTCTATTGGACTATACAAGGAAATCACATACTTACATTCTTTCCTTTTTTCCTGCTTAGTCTTCCACAGGATAGTGAAAAGAACATGGACTTGGAACAATTCTGATTGTTGATATCTATGTGAACTTGAATCGGCTACTTTACACTTTGAGCATCAGTTCTGTATAAAATGAGCCCAAACCATCTATGTACAGGAGTTTTGTGGAAGATAAGTGACATACATTCTGTGAAACTATCTATCTTACTATCTGGGAAAAAGTCGCAGCTTCTATAGTAGGTTATAATGGTCTGGTCACCTAGGGTGACATACTTGTCTGTAAACCCTGACTCCTCAGTGTCTGCCTGGTCCTTCTGCCTCTTAGCTTCCTCAGTGGCACACGGAATAATAGTTTTCTCTAAGATACTCTGGAATTTAAATAAAGGAGTGCATGTAATATGTTCCCTTCCCTCCCCCCAGCTGGGATATATAAGAACTGAACTGTGAATGCATTGAGATTAATGATGACTACACTGAATGCCAACAGAGAATGGCAAGGCATTTGCTTAGAAATTCTCTGTTGCCCTGATGTCATCTGGCTTCTTAGCTTTCAAATTCATATTTACAGTGTGGTAGAGGACTGAAAAACTGAATATGAAAGTAAATTCCAGAGTTGGTGGTAGGATATTAATAAACTGTAGGCTAGTCGAAAACACAGTGATCAAGAATTATAAAGAAAACTAGAACCAATTTCTGTTTTCAACTACAACAGCTTTCGTTAGGTAAGTAATTGTATGAATTTAGTTTCCCTACTCTCAGAATAGTATTTAGGTCTTTAATCCTTTTGACTTAAATTTTGAATATGGTATAAGGTAAGAGTAATTTCATTCCTTTGTAGATATCCAGTTTGTACCATACCATTTGTTGAAAGACTGGTCTTTTCCCTTTGAATGACATTGGCATGGTGTCAAAGTAATTTGACCAGATTAGATGAGTAAATACTGCCCTCTTTATTTTCTGACTTCTCTGTTTTCTTTTCCTAGTATTAGTCTATATGTTTCACTTTCTGCCAGAGTCACTTTTTTGATTATGCCTGCTTTATGGAAAGTTTTGATATTAGAAAATGAGTCTTTCAACTTTGTTCTTTTTAAATATTGTTTTGTTTGACCAGGGTCCCTTCATATTCTATACCAATTTCAGGGTGGCTATTTCTGTATCTACAAAAAAAGGGGGAAAAATGTCATTGAGATGATTTCTAGTCTTTGTCCACAAGTCCAATGTTCATTCTTCCATAGGGATAGTGTTGGTTTTAGTATTTTCCTTGAATGGTCCACTTTATTTTTCTTTGCCTTTTGATCATTTCTGTATAAAGACTGCACATTGAATATTCGGATATGATCGTGTATCATATGGAAACCATATTTTCATCATTTCTCAAAATTTGTTGTTTTGACTTACAGTTGTTTGTTTAGTAACTTTTCTAAACTTTTTTTAAAAAGACTATTCTTGCAGAATGTAATGACTCAGGTTTCTGTTCCTTTAGCACAGTGGGCAAAATAGTGAATTTCCTTAAATGCATGAAACAATCAAAAAAAGCAAAACAAAACACCTGACACTTCTCCAGTTTTTTTTTTTTTAATTAAAACTTGCTGGAAATTCCTTCAACATTTTATCACCATGCTATTTTCAATTATTCCTGAGTCTGTACTTCTTCTTTTCTCTGAGCCTAAATAAAAGCCAGGATGAAAGTTTATGATTTTCTCAGGTCTCCTCTGAGCATATCCTGCCCTAGGCATTTATGTGGCATTCTACATTCCCCAGTATGTGCAAAAGCTTATCAAAGCCCTTAGTTCCCAAAATATCTTGCTTCTACGTTTCTCTTCCAAGATACTTGTTAATGTTTTGCTCTGGGCATTCCTAGACAATCCTAGATTGTTCAAATGCCTTTCCAAGCAATTTTTCCTATGTGACTGTTTTTTGCCCTAAAAGAGTTCTAGATAGGGGAAACAAAGCCATACATACTTAGTCTCTATGAGAGCCCCCACACGTCAAACCAGACAGACACAGGTCTATGGGAACAAGGTCTTCTGTAGAATAAAAAACACACAGTGGGAATATAGTTTCATTCTTCAAGGTCACTACTCTGCTGGTGAAGTGGATAGGACAAAAGTAAGTTAAACATCAAAAAGATCTACTGTGCTTCCATGACCTTCCTGCTGATTGAGTGTGCACTCTTAGCCTTTGACTACTTTCCAAGTTTCTAATAAAGTTTATTCTGGTGTTTTTTGCCCTTCCCCTCCCCCCCCATGTTCTATTTCCTTGTTCAATTCTATGTCAACTTTTTGATTTAGGTAGGAGAGCTTTTTCAGTATTTCCTGTAGAGAAGTCTAGTGTTGGCCATATTGCTTGACGGCTATTGCTCCTTCAATCCATTTTATTTGCTTGATTGAATTTTAAAAAATTTTTGAGGTAATGGTTTATAACTGTGTAGGTTTGTTAATGATTGCTTTATATATTACAGTGCTCCTTTATTTGGTGCAATTGTCTTATATGTGTTATAACATCTATTGATATATTGTTATAACATATATTGATCTGCAATGCTCATGTAATGTCCTTCCCTGTCTTTTGTTACATTTTTAGCTAGAAACTGATTTTATTTGATATAAGTACTGCTGTCTGTCTATACATTCATTAAAGTACCCTTTGTTACTTTGAGCCTATGCTTGGAGCTCAGATGGGCTTTTGGTGACAGTAGGAAGTTGAGTTTGTTTTCCACATTAGCCTTTCTGCTTTTTTCTTGGTGAGTGCAAGTCTATTTATTGCTACATGAACACTTTCTGCTGTTATATTATGTTTAGTTTTCAAGTACTATTTCCTTGTTCAATTTTATGTTAACTTTTTCTCTTTGATTTAGGTAGGAGAGCTTTTTCAGTATTTCATGTAGAGAAGTCTAGTGTTGGCCATATTGCTTGATGGCTATTACTCCTTCAATCCATTTTATTTGCTTGATTGAATTTAAATATTTTTTGAGGTAATATTGGTTTATAACTGTGTAGGTTTGTTAATGATATAAAATCTATATGCATGTGTCAATATAAAATACTCCCTTTTTTTAAAAAAAGTGGGTAAACCCTTTGTAAGTGAATATCTATGTTTGCATTAGCAGAACAAAGTGAAAGGATATGCAACATTTCAAACTTTGCTTATGTTAGAAAATTAGGGGAAGGGTTGTCAGATTTTTTGTGTGTGTATTATTCTGTGTTAGAAAACAGCTCATGTGCCTTTTCAATGTGAAATGTATATTAAAGTGTACTTTAAAAATAACATGGGCCAGTAGATGGCAGCATTGTAACTCATTTGATAAAACTGCTCATTGTCTTTCCTGTAGTGTTGTTTTTTTTTTTTTAAGATTTGTTTATGCATACAGAAGTGGGGTACAGGCCAGAGGTGCAGGGGGTGAGAGGATTCACCAGAGACAGGTGGGGAGCAGAACAAGCCCACTAAGTACACTGCTGAGGGGAGAAGTGGGCGGGTCAGGAGAGGTCTGCCATGCCTTTTGGGTCACCTCCAGGGAGGTCGGGGATGGAACTCATGTTGAAATGGCTTTTAGCTTCCCAATGTTGTGCTTTAACCTGCTGCGCCACCAGGGAGGGGCCCTTTCCTATAATGTTTTAATGAAAGTAGGTAGAAGTCACAATGATATATTGTTTCTGCATTTCCTGGATTCATGTATTAACAAATTATAAAATCATATCCTTGTTTATTTGCTTTGACTTCTTGTTTAACATAGTATTTGATATTTTTAATCTTTGTGCCTAAGTCAAAGATTCTGATGCCTCTCCATAATTTGCCTCTCATTTGTTTGATTGCCAGTAATATCTTTCTGGCTTGTAAGAAATTTCATGGTGTTTTGAAAAGCAACAAGCCCTGCCCCCACCTCTTTTAGATTTTTTACTGAGAAAGTTCTGGTATCTTTTTCTAAGGAAGGTTGAAAAACCCATTTCTGACGACCTTAATCTAGTGGGACTCCGTTGGGTCTATAATAGCTCATACAGAAGTTCCTTCCTCCAATATGCCACTTGTAGCCACAGAGGAAAGTCTAAAAGTGGTCATATCTAATAATCACACTCCCCAGAGTCTGCTACTTTCAATACAATTATCAAAAACACTTTTACTTCTTTCTATGGGTTTGAGAACTGTACTTGATTTTATATCCAATGTTTGGAATTTGTAAATTATCTGGTACATGGAAGTTCAAGAAATTTTAGCTAAATAAATAAGGAATTATTAAGCACTTTCATAGAATGACCTAGGTGAGTGGTGTCTGCTAAAAATTTCTGTAATGATAGAAATGTTATCTCTGTTACCCAATATGGTATCCAGGAGCCACATGTATTATTTTGTGTTTAACACAAAGTTGATTGATATGGCTGAAGAAATACATTTTTATTTATATTGAATATTAAATTTTCAATTGAATATATGTAGCCCTAGCTCACTAGTGGCTATCATACTGGAAAGTGTAGGTTTTAGTGCAAAGTGCTGCTACATGATTTCTGTTCTTCATTCTGAGGTGTTAATGGTGGTAGAATGAGCTGTTTTGACTCATGCAAGCATATATAACTCTTTTAAATAGTGTTTATGCATTCTGAGGCTTCTGAATAGAGTGTACATGTGAAATTATGAATGATTTACATATTTGAGGTATCTGTCCCTAGATGTATCAAAAAATATGGGTATAGAGTCAGTATATCTAAGGATATACCCATGTATATGTGTGTGTGTGTGTGTGTGTCTGTCTATTCAGGTTCAGTTTTCAAATGATCTTAATTTGTCTAGCATTGTTTATATGTAAGTATGGTAGAGATCTTTTAGCATTCTCTAAAAGAATCAGAAATTTTAAAAAAGGATCATATAATAAGGACATTGTGGTACAAGGTTTTTAACAGTTCTTCCCTCTGTTGATCCCATGGCATTGGTTCTCAACTGGGGATGGTTTTGCCCCTTCCCACAGAGGACATTTGGCAATGTTTGGACACATTTTTGTTTGTTAAAACGTGATGAATTTACTACTGACACCTAGAGGGAAGGAATGTTGCTAAACATTCTCAGTGGGAAGAGAGCTGCCCTTTTCCAACAAAGAATGATCTCTGAAAAAACGTCAACAGTACCAAGGTTGGTACCAAGGAAACCTGCAGCATAGTAACAACTCACAGAGAAAGAATTTGAATATGTTATATAAATATATTTTATTATATACAATATGTAATGTGTGACAAGGAGATTCTTAATATAAAATGCAAAAGAAAATCTTCAAACAGCAGTGATCCCACCAGCTAAATTAACTGTGAAAGGGTGAGTGTGAGGGGAGAACAAGTTAAGGCTTAGTTGTACAGAAAAAGTCCGAGTACGAATCCATAATCATGTATAATGCCACAAGATATGAACTTGAATACAAATAAAGTGACTCCTTTAATAATTAGACAAATTGGAAGATGCCATCTTGGTTATTTGTATATTTTCTATGATAAACACAATTCTTCAAAGAATGCATAGGGTTTTTAACAGTAAACTTAAGTATTATGCACTAAGGTCTTTCCCCAAATCTTGCATCACATTTTCTATGAATGTGCAATTTTATATTCACCTCTCATGTAAATTCTTTATGGCCATAATTTAAATTGGCTTCTCATTCTGTAGGTCCCTTAGTTTTTCTGAAGTTGACTGAAAAGAAAACTTTAGAAAATAAATTACAGTAGGGAATAAATAAGCAGAAGTGAATAGCAAATTTACATCAGGATTTGAACTTCTCCATTTTTTTTCCTCCCCACTTCTCCCTTTATCAGAGAGTCTTTGACTTTTTTCATCATTTCCATTTAACAAAGAGGTCAAGAAATTGAATGCCAAAAGGCAGTTTTTCATATTTAGAAGAATTCTGTGATAGACAGTATTTCTAGTTCTCCTGCTTTTTGATCTAAGCATTTAGTTATTTTTCCAGAGTAAACATTAGGGTAATTGTTAGAGTTTAAAATCTGCACTATAGTATATAGATGTCAACATTTTTTTAAATCAAGTTTCAAGGAAATGCACACCTGAGAGCAGTGGGGAAAGGATTCACAGTAGTGCTGTCTCGTAATATCTAGTTTCATGTATATTATCTGTCCATCTCTGGGCATTGTTTTGACCCTACAGATTCATAATGAGGATTATTTGATGAGGATAATATAAATTATAGTGTCAGGAGAAAGCACCTTGTTCTGTCAGGGAAAAAAATGTAGACTGCTGAGCCAGACAGTACTTATCAGATTGAACTGCTGGATTAGTCTAAAATGAGAAGTAGGGTCAGGAAGATGAACAAGGAGCTAATCATAGAAATTAGAGGCTCTTATCAGCAAGGGTGGATATCTGTGGAGTTGACAGTATTGTGTACAATCACAGCAAAATACTTCAGATTTAGTGGAGAAATCTTTTCTCATCTTTAAGGTGAAAATTATCAAATCACACTTATTTGCATCTTGAACTCAATGACAATATACATGCTAACATACATTGAACACTTTACTAGAGACCACAAATAACATTTGTATTTTGGATGTGAGGAGATTGTTGCACTAGATGTTAGTTTTAGATTTAATCCAGTCCCTATAAAGAGTCACTTTGGTATAAACTCCAGGCTTATTTTCTTTTCCACAATCGATTCCCCAGCTTACTATTCCAATGACGTGCCAGATGCTTCCATTAAGTGCTATAACTAGAGGTCCCCCTGAATCACCCTGGAGAAGAAGAAAATAATATCATTAGTCTCACAAATAAAGATGTTACATAAATGTGAAACCTGAATGTCTAAAAGTTAAGATTTTGAAGTTAGTAAAACTAATTTTTATTTATTAATTCTTCTTATCTCTGTTTATGACCATTAGTTTTTTCATCTAGAAGCTAGAATAGATAAAGCAAAGCTTTCAGGTTTATCCTGGTACAGTTTTGGGTTTTGTCATATCGAAACAATGGAACTTAAGGAAACGGTTTTACATAAATGATTACTTCAGGGCTCAACTGTATATGACCCCCCCCCCATAAAAACTCACCTAATTCTGTTATATAAAAAAAATCTCTTGACTTGAATTTGATTCTCACCCTGTTTCACTTACAACTGTTGATAGGAAAGTGGCCTGGACATTTGAGCACCACGCAACAATAGTTTTCACAGAGGGAAAATAGGCAAAGTCATTCCAAGTCAGTATGCACTATTTAGTACATAAAGGATTTTGCTCTCGAAAGGTAGAATCCTTAACTTTAATGAGCTGGAATAAAGTGTATGAATCATGAAGGTTTGCCTGACATTTTTAATCCAAGGCTTAGACAAATGATTTTTACTTTTAGAAATGAGACTATAAAATGGAAACACCTTATAGACTTTTTTTTTTTTAAATAAAGAACGATCATTGTAACGCCTGTTTGAAATAGGCATGGAGTTTGGCTGTCACATGCCTTTAGCTGTCTTCACTGCAGTATTTAGTAGACAGAGTATGAAAATCCTGATTCACCAAAGGCTTTCCTTCTCGGTTCCTTCCCCATGGACACACATCCTAGTTTAGGTCCTCAGTATGCTAGTGGTGGAGGATGTAAAGGGGATAGGCCAAGGGAAAGAGAACATCTGCTCTCATATGGAATAAACTGAAATACAACTCTGTCCCATAGATGTTTTTGTGAACTTAAGTCTTTCTAAAATGTAAATTTATCCTCCTCCACAAAGGTTATGCTGTCCAGTTGCATCTTATACTACCCAATTATTTTTTTCTTCTTAGGAGATAAGGTTAATAGAGGGGCCTTTGTATTATGGAATATGTTACTAAATTTTAGGTTTTTGTTATTTTATTTATCTGTATGCTGTCTTAGATGTTAAATTCATTGTAGATTCACTGTTTTTAGTGTTTCTGCTTCCCTTCAGTTATTGCCACAGTACTTTACAATCCAAAAAGAAGGAAAAAAAGCTTAATGAATAACTAAGTGAATGTTTATACTATCCCATGACAGAACAGTAGTATACTGTATATAAGGACAACTCTCATGTCAAGTCCTTAGTCATTCCTAATTTTTCAGGAATTGCTAAGCTGTTGGACCCAGTTTCAAATGCAATAGTAAAATCTGTAGTTACATATTTTTAGGCCTTCAAATAGTCAGACATCCAACTAATTTTCAGTGCTTAGTTAGTGCTTAGAATTCATGTTTTGTATGGTTGAGGAGGAAAAAATCATGGTTTGTATAGTTATCTATATAATTACTTTCTATACATCATTTGTGAGTAGCAATTTATATGAATAACTATATTTGTTATTCATTAAATGGGGTAATTCTGTCTGTATGAGCACTATTGAGAGTCAAAGATCTCAGCACACACCAGTGTGTATCTTTACTGTGGGGATATCTGTAGGTTCCTTACCATGTGCCTTATGATTACTAAATGATTTTAACTCTTGGTTATGACTGTGGCCTGAAGCAATGATTGGTCTATATGTATTTGCTTCCAGTCCTTTTTCTAGTCAAAGTTCTAATTTATAGCTGGTTGCCATTTTCACATATAATTCTGGACACTAGTCAGTGTTAACGAAAGACTACTTATTATGATTCTTCTATTCCCCGTTTTTACTCTTTTCCCACTCCTCCACAAGTTACCTTTATAGAGTCACATAAGGTGACTGTGTCTGTAGCAGATTTCTATAATTTGAGTATATTCTTACCTCACAGGCATCTAGTTTTCCTGATAAGAATCCGGCACAAATCATTCCTGATGACACAGCACCACCATATACATAAACTTGATTACATATATCATTACTTATGATCTCTATTTCAACTTGTCGTAGAGTATTTGTAAAGGGACCTAAAAAGGAAAAATAGATGAAAAATTTCCATATTGTTGCATGTAACACTTTGTTGTATCACACTAGGTTTGGATCATTGTTAAACATGTCTTGATGTTGTAGAACTGTGGGTTTAATGACAGTGTTCAGGTTCAAGTTAGATTTTTTGGATTCCTTCTAGGTGCTAGGTACCATGCTTGTCATGTTCACTCCCATTTATTGAATACTCATAATAGTCAACAAAGATATGAATTTTCTTTTTTTTTTAATCTGAGGAAACCAAAGCTCAGCTGGTTATGAGTTTTGCCAGTATTGCACAGTTAAGTGAGGATTCCATTAGATGGAAAGCTGGGGCATTTCTCAGGGCACTGTTCAAGTTAATATGTAACAGGTTACCTTTTTTTAATCTAGAAAGCTACCTCATTACTTCATAAAGGACACAGCTATATTAGAAACTGAGCATCCCTGTTTTGAATAGCAGCACCGAGCAAGACTGTACTATAGGGGGTAGTAACTTTAATAGTAAATAGATGGAATACTATTGCTTCACAAGAAAGATCAAGGTGACATCCAGACTAATACTGAGTAAATGACAAGTACTAAGATAAGAAATAGTATTTTATTAACTAAGCATGTATTTATTGACTTGTTAGCTACAAGGTATTATTTAGTGACTAGTGAATAGTTTAAGTCATTATCTTTATCAGTTAACAGCTTCTGTTTTAAAGGGGGTATTAGTCCTTCATATAAAGATGAATGTCCTATTTATAACAAGTTCAAAGACAACTGAAAGAATGAAGACAGTAGTGCTATTGAATTGAGCAACAAGTCAGGGTATTTCTGTGACAAGGACCCTGGTCTTGGAGATAGCAGATCTGAGCTTGAACAGTTTGCTCAATGTGGCCTTGAAAAAGTTATTGCATTTTAGCATTATTTTACTCATCTGTAAAAAGACAAAAATTATACCTATCTCACAAGTTTGTTGTGAGGATTAAAAAATACTGAATATGATAAATTACGGTAGTGCCTCATCCACATTCAATATGGATAAATATGATAAATATGGTAGTGCCTCATTCCACATTCAATTTTCAATAGAAGTTATTAGAGTGAGTTGTAGAGATTAAGTTTTATATATATGTAAAACTGTCATGGTCAAAAAACTGTACTTTTCTGTTAATGATGATGGTGAGAGAACTTATGCAAGAGGACATCTAGGTTCCTAGGAATTTTTTCAGTCACTGTGAAGATATATGTTTTATAACTAGAAAATTAACTTGACCAGAATTGGTCATTGCTAAATACTAGATCTAATTTTTGTAGGTCATTAAAGATTATCTAAGAACTACTGAAATTTCTTCACCTGTCATTATTTTTAAGCATAGGATAATCACTAAGTGACCACATTCTCTTCTCTTAATTTTTGAATAAATGCAGTAAATCTTTCAGCATAAAAAGGAAAAAAAAATGTTCTATCTCCAAATATGCCTTTCTGGCATGTTGATAATTTTGAATTGGAGACAATGGAGAAGCAGCAGCTGCAGGGTATCACATTGAGTTTCCTTTCTTATTTTAAAAGCAGGAGATTAAGTTTCCACATGAAAGATATCCTCTCTACACCAAAGGGAAGGTTACCTTTTTGTCATTGAGGATGAGAAGTCAAGACTATTGATGTGTTCTACAAAGGACCTTATCAAAATGGCCCTTATCTTCCTTTGGCAATTAGCATTTCTGTTTATCATCTTCTCTTTATACAATTTTTGAACAAGCTAGCCTACTTCTTTTTGTAGGTGTCACAGCAAAATATAATTTTGCTGGCTCTAATTTTCATTTTAAAATTTTAGGTATTCCAGGCTTTATTCAGATATATTCCACCTAATTTCTGTGTGCCTTATTTTAGCTAGATGATCTGGGCTACACAATTTAAGTTTCAAATGCTTGTAACTCTTCAATCTCAGCTTTTAAAAAATCAATTACAACGCTTAGCAATATAATAAGCTATTTTTTATATGTTACTAACTAGGGAAGAAACTCGCCCCCATAGAAAGTTACCATTTTTTAAGTTACCTTTCAGGCAGATTTCTAATCCGATATAATTGGATAAATCTTGAGAGATAGTAAAAGAGAACTGGCCTGATTCTTGTCTCTGTTTCAACATCCAGATAAAAATATATAATCAGGCCCTCCCTGGTGGCGCAGCGGGTTAAAGCACAGCACTGAGAATCTAAAGCCTCTTCTGTATGAGTTCGATCCCTGCCTGCCCCAGAGGTGACCACATGGCGTGGCAGACCTCTCCTGACCCGCTCGCTGCTCCCCTCAGCAGTGTACCTCATCGATCTGCCTGTTCTGCCCCCCACTCTGTCTCTGGTGAAGCCTCTCACTGCCCCTGAGCCTCTAGCCTGTACCCCAGTTCTGTATGCACAGATAAATAAATCTTTAAAAAAAAATCAAATTTCTAATACTTAACCTTACTCAGATGTCTAATAAACCATAACACTACTCCTTTGGGGTGAGCAACTTTTTGGAGTAGAAAGCAGTACACAATTTAACCTGTATCCAACACTGTTGGATACTGAGCGATTCATGCTGAAGTTTCTTATCATTCATAAACTGGTTCTCTGGAGAGGCTTAGTTAGGCCTCGAGGAAGTGCAATGATCTTGCCCTACTGGTAGATGCTATTCTTTTGTACTCCAGTAAATCCTTGGCTTGCCTAAAACCAAAATATTTCATTCCTTTTTGTATTCATCACTATTGCCTAAAGAGTAATTAACATCTCCCAGAGAGGAGGAAGAGAAATCTCAAGAGTAATGTAACATTAACATGGACTCCTAACAGAATTTTGAAGTGCATATTTAAGAGTAGTTTTCTATAAAAATCAACTGATGAATACTCAGTAGATAAAAGCTATACTTTGAGAGAATACATAAATAACAGCACAAGTTTGTAATAAGAGTCTAAAATAAAACTTTGAAATTCAAGGGCAGATTAAACCTTACGTTGAAAGTCCAACAAAGAGGCACAGGAACTAGGAGGTGAAGTAAAATTATTATACTTGTGAACTTTACAAGGTGTCAGACTCAAAAAACTATGCCATAGATACATGGATCAGAGGGATCCTATGTACTATTTAGCAGGAGGAATGTCATTCACATTGTTTAGTTAAGGCTATGTCTGTTTAGTTGCATGACACATTACTGAAGCTTATCATTACTACTATTCATTAATCACATGTTTTAAAAGTCAGGTAATTATAGCAGAAACACACATATGAAAGAGAAACAAAAAATATGAAAGATATAGTTTAATAACTTTTAAAAGGAAAATTGTAACAAGTTTCTGAAATAGCCCATTGAGAAGATAAATGTCATAGGTACACAGTGATAGTAATAGCCAGAGTTTCAGTAATTCACCATAGCTGGGTTTTCAGATTTTTGTTCTTACCTTCTTTTTCATTGGACATGTTGATTTCAGCTTTTATTCTATGTATTTTTATTTTGTATCTTATATCTCCCTTCAAATGGAAGATGGATTTGTGTTTTGGATTCAGATGTTTCGACTGAAATACTCACCATTTGCTTTAAATGCGCCCCATCCAGTAACAAACACTTTGCTCTTAGGCAAGGCTTCAAAGGTAGCATCTGGGAGACACACTCTGCTCACATCATTGGAAAATAAAACAGGGGTGGAGAGTTTCACCAGGGCAATGTCGTCATCATGCTTATGGGCAGCATAGTTTTCATGGATGATAATTAACTGCACCTTTCTTTTCATCAGTGCAGGGATTAGAGTTGTTCCAAAACTGGCCGTCCAGAGTTTGGGGTTTTTGTAACTGATCACAGATTAAAAGGGTTAGAGTTGGCTCAATTCTAACTAAAGTTGGCTCAATACTAACTAAAGCTGCCCAGGACTCTGAATGGGCATGGGGAAGAAGGGGGGGAAGGGCAAGTTGATAAATGTGATCATTGAATGCTCTCACTGTCTTATTTGAGGTTTCTTCATTAAGTCAGCTCTGCTTTTATTTGGCTGTTTACAGATCCTCCCATATTAAGGTAGCTTAAATTAATTCTCTTCAAGGAGGAACTTGTATTTTTTTTAAAGGAGACAATATGTTAATTCCAGTTTTATTACAAAAATATGTATTAGCTGAAGAGAAAATAAATTAAAACCTAGACATATATACCCTTGCTTGCACACCCCGTACACATATACACCCCTATCTATATGCAAAGGCATATAAATATATGTAGGTTGTAAAGAGAGAAAGTGAGGGAGAAATAAGTGTATAATTGTTACCACACTTTATAAATTGCTTTCTCATCCTTCCAGCTGAGTTAACAATTTATCCAGGTTGTATTTAAATCCATTTTACAGGAATTTAAATACAATTAAAAATACTATTAATGAAAGCACAGCATCAAAGATATTCATGTGGCTAATCAGATGTGAGTTTGGAAAACTACCAGCAGAGTTTAAAAAATCTACAATATGTCTCAGGAAAATCAGTGAGTTCATTGAACTTTGAACAGAACTGACTTGTTCTTAAAATTGAGATTACTGGGAAATATATTTTCAGTTGAAGCTGAAGACATTTCCTTTTTTTTTTTAACTGTTCTTCAGTAATTGTTAATTCTTCTAAGGCTACTGGACAATCCTGAGTACTTTGGGAAGCCTAAGTAATTAAAATTATAAGAAGCAAAAGTAGTAAAATAGATGAAGTGGTGATCCTGTTAGTGTAGACTGAGGACTTACGTGTCAAAGCAGTGAGCTGCAGTCAGGAGCCATTGCTCACTAATCAAAGATGCTCCACAGAAATGGATGCCATCCATCTGCAGGCTGGCTTGCCATGGCCAGTCAGTTTTCCTTGCAATACTACCATCTGCAATTCTTTCCATAGTTGGATAATCCCTCCCTATACCACAGCCTGTCCAGAGGGAATAAGATGGTTATTTACAGAATAGAGGCTAGAATGTAGAGGAATGCTTGATGCATAGTTAAATGACAAAAAAATTATACACTGTAAAGAGAAACCAGAATATGACAAAAAGCTCTTGTCAAACTGCTAGAAATGGAGCTTCCATATGACCAGCAGTTCCTCTCCTAGGTATCTACCCAAAGGTCACAAGAACATTATTTCGAAAGGACACTTGTGCCCTAATGTTTATTGCTGTCTGTTTACAATAGGGAAGATGTGGAATCAACCCAATAGCCCAAAAATAGATGACTGAATCAAAACTATGTGGAATGTATACACTGTGGAATATTATTCAGCAATCACAACAGATAAACTCTATGCCACTCATAGTTTCACTCATAGCAGGAATGTAAGAGATCAGAAAATAAAAACAATTGCAGTAAACTAAAAATGAAAATCAACAAACAACTATAAACCAGAGACATTCTTTGGAGGTGGAGAGGGGAGTAAGACCAAAACTAGGGTGGGAAGAGTGCACAGGACTATGGTGATGACACATGAGTGAATTGGTGGCAGGAAGTCCATGGGGATTACAACTGAGATGAAAAAATATACAAAATGAAGAATGATGTAATATGTAAATTTTTAAAAGATGTGGTATATATACACAATAGAATACAGCTCAGTTGTAGAGATAAAATTTTGCCATTTGTGACATGGATGAATGGAGATTATGCCAGATGAAGTAAGTGAGAATGAGTAAAACAAATGTTGGGTCATTTCACTCATCTGTGGGATATAATGAAACAGAACAAAGGAGAATGCAAAACTAACACAAAACAAACCCTAGAAATATTACTGCAGTTTTAAGTGATGAGTAGGAGAGGCAGCCCAGCGGTCTATGATGGAGAATTATGAGTACTCTGGCAGATGTGGAGGTGATGACATACATATGAAGAATTATAAACCTATTCCACTAAATCATACACAGTGGTGCAGCCCAATGTTACCTTTATAAAAGAAAAATTATTTTGTACTCAGAATAAAAAAAAAAAAAACAAAACCTGTTAATACAGAAAGCAGATCCAAATATTCACTGATATTTAGATATTATTAGCAAAAAAAAAATTGAAAAGACTTAAAAAATAAAGATGGAAATACTTATAGGTTTTTCTTGCCTCACAAATTAATTGAAATTATATATGAGGATAATGCTTCTTCATATCAAAAATGTGTTAACTTTAAAAAATAAATTAACATCCTCCCATATGTACTTTAAGCAATATTTTCTTAATGTTTTTTTTTCCTTTTCTGCATCATGTAAAATTTACCCCCAGTGATATTTGACAACTTTAAAAATTTCAAATGTATATTAATACTTGCATAAAAATGCCATTTGTACTCTTAGAAACACTTTTCTAATATCATAATTACTATATTACTATATACCTATTATATTACCCTAGCATAAGTGTCAAGGTTAATTATTGAAGTTAGTGGGTGTTAGTTATTCTAAGCAAGTATGCCGATAAAAATAAACAAGACCGTTGACTGAGAATTGTTTAACGAAATCACCAGTGAAAGTTTCTGTGAGGATGGCAATATGTCCACATAGACGTTCCCTATTCCCTATTCTTAGCAGCAGTTTTTCCCTTTGGGGGATATTGCATATGCACTGGGGAATAGTAAAAATGGATAAAAGTGCTAAAAGAGCTTTGACTTTTAGTGATGTAAAACATATCAATGATTTTCTTAAACTTACGGTTGTTCAGAATGTGTTCTGCTTGTACTTCACTCATCTCTGGAAAAAGATCAAGATGATTTATCAGCAGTGATACAGTTGCAATTGAAAACACAGTGTCTATCTACATGACAGAGATGTTTCTGTTTGAATGGAACTGAATGGGTCCGGAAATTATTACTTTT